TTTAATTGCTCGGCTTTTTTCAGGAGGCTTTACTACTTGCAACTGAAGAGTCAAATTCTTGAAGGCAGCCTCTCATGTGGAAAGGACACTGCTGTTTTACTTGCATCGTACTCTGCTCAAGGTGAGGGATATTTCTCAGATCTTTGGTGACTGAGTAGTTGTACATGTATTTACATGCATGTACATCAATCCCATGTACCACAGTTTCAACCTACCTTGCACCCTTATTCATTTACACCAAAGAATCCTAACTTTTTCCCAGTATTCAAAAATATGTTTATAAAATTAATTATAAACAGGTCAGCCCAGACAAAAATTGTTTTTTATATTTCTCACCTTTAAAACATCAATATTATTGTGTTTAGCGGAGCTTGGTGACTATGAAGCTGAGAAATTCAGTAGCTACATTGAAGATCAGAGCCTTTTCCCTTGGGTAAGTTTTCAATTGCAGTAATTTAGTTTCATTGATAGTAACATACACTGTAATAGGTTGAGTTTGATCGTCCGGGTGAACGTAGTCCTGAATAGGACTGTTGTTGTTGACAGTGACTGACATTTCGACAACCTGTGCAGTAGTCATCTTCAAAGTCAAAGTGAGTTGTATCACGTCAGTTGATGGTATTATACTCTGGTTATTGATCTGATTGTTCAATTGTGTTGTGATGTTATCGGTCGTCTGTCAGTTAAGCTGTGATGTTATTGGCTATGAAGACTCATAATCAGTAATTGGTGCGTTTCGATCCGTATTTTGTCACAGTTAAACAGTCGTCTATTGTTAGTCACATTGTCAGTTCTCTAGTCATTCTCTCGTAGTTTACTTGATCTTGTCAATGAGTCATTTGTACGGCGCTGGTAACTGTTAGCTACGATTCAGTGGCGTTTGTTTTAAGTTAGATGACTACCGCACAGGTTGTCGAAACGACTCAGTCACTGTCAACAACAACAGTCCTATTCAGGACTACGTTCACCTGGACAAGCAAACTCAACCTACATTTGAAATGACTCCTGGGTTCAAACCTTTCACAGTTATACACTGTAATGTTATTTACTACATGTATGTAATAAGATGAAAAGAGAATAAAAGCGTTACATGTAAAAATCATTTGCACTGATCTGCCTCTCTCTTATGTCATTTCTTGGCTTTCTTAATTGCCTTCACATAAATCAAACTCTATCAAACAAACTCCTTTCCATCAAGCTACCTCTTTGTAATATTAATAATTTTATAGAATAGTAGCTGAGAAGGCTGTCAAATATGCAAGGGAAAAATATTATTCGCATTAGCCTGCATAGCTGGGGGAATTGTTATAGTGTGTGTGTGACATTTTTGGTAGTACATGAAACCGCCCTGGCATGATTGAGAAAATTTTATCTGCCAGATAACATCACTTTTTTTAATGTCACTCGCTTTTTAATAAGCACTTTGTTGTAAACAATAGCTGTAACAGCCAATCAGAGTTAGGGTGTAATGCAAAAACCCACGTTAATAAATTACCAGCATGCAGGGGTTGTGTGTAAAAACAAAAAAAATAATTGTTTTGGCACAGAAGCAACCAAAACATGGATGATTGTCAAGTAAAGTTGCATTTAACAATTTAGTGTAAATTTTAATATGCATGTAATCTACAGTTTTGTAAAGTCAAATTTGGGGATTTGCTTAATAGTAGTACACATTGTATGTTTCAACAGAAAACCTGTTTCCACATACAGTAAAGAAATTGTGGTGGATTTGTAGTCATTGAAACCTTGCAATTTAGCAACTCACGTCTATTTATTCATTCATAACACTTTTCAGTGGCGAAACAATGATAGAACAAGTCTTTGTGGACTTACTTCCTCACCAAAGCTAAGATCTTGTAAATAATAAAACTTGTACCGAAACTGGGCAGCAAAGCCATTGCAGAAGTTTCCAGTTCTTCTTGCCTTCCTTCTAATCATTAACATATTAAAAGACAAAGGTTTTGATAAGTCATTCTCAATAGAGAGGAGAAGCGTGACATCACATAACCAACTGGATCACAACAATAGGTAGCTTAAGCAACAGCGACGTTGACGGGAACGAGGAAGGCTCTAAAGCAATAGGTCTATTTTAGCAAAACAACAACTTTGCTCCTGCATCACGCTATTTTGTACATTTCTTAGCTGTTGCTTAGTGCTACACAACTGCGACATGAAACTTCCTAATACACGCCCGCTTTATGAAGTACTGGTGAGCACAACACAAAAATTGTCTTTTTTTTTCTAAACTTAGATATGGTCGTTTTGGATTCAACCCCTGAAATTTTGCTAACATTTGACAAAAACGTGTGAATTCGCTGTTTTAGTGACGTTTTCGGTTTGTTGTCATCCAGAAATTTTGCTACCAATTATGGCAATGTGATGTAATGACTTTTCCTCTCTATAAGACATTTTATAGTACTGCCAGTAACAGCGTGGTTAAGAAAATGTTATGATTGGGTTTGTTTCCTATGAGAGACATGTGAGCTCTCAGGTACTCTCATTTTGATTGACGTGTTTCTATTCTCAGCCTATCAAAAATAATTCTGTCCACACTGTGTGACCAAACCACTCCAAAAATCATGGCTTTCCTACGCCCACAGGCGAGGTTTCAAAGTCTCTCCTCCCTATTCTCCAAGTGCTAACAATCCCACCAGCTACACAGATGAAATTCACAGAAAAAGAAATTTTTATTTTGCCCTCTGAAAAGTAGAAGTGTTGGGAAATTTGTTTATGTGTATGATGTGCTTCACAGTGGACAACTGATCCCATTTGCAGTGAAACCAGTGAGATGTTTGCATTCCACATCATGTATATTAACACGCCTATTCAGGACCGGGAATCATGTGTGGTTCAATTTCAACTAACTGTAACTGACTGGAATTTTATGTTCGTTGTCTGGAAATACATTGTACGTAACTGTCAGCAATTTTTGTACCGCAGAATGTTGCTGTTAACCATTCAAGGGATATCCTTGAACAGCAGGTACTAATTTATATTGTCTTATATATGAATTATTTTTATATTGTCGATAGTGTCCATAACTTATTTCGTCCAAAGAGTGATATCATGTATGATTTTGACTTTTCTTCTTAGTGGTGATTCACTGTCAAATTTGTTGTATCGCGCTATGCGTTTTGCAAACTTCAAAGCAATTTTGGGTTTTTCTGTTCTGTCAATTATCTTAGCAGACCTCTCAGGAAACACATGGTTACCTGAACGAGTTCAAAAGGTCATGGTTTGTGATTTGTTATTGGTGGATTTCAATTCGTTTGGTTTGTTTCTATTTTTCAAAGCTCATTGCTTGTGATCATCCTGTTTTGGGCTATAATCAAGATTTTTCCAATATTTCTTATTCTTGTCATTTGCAAGAATAAAGCAATTTCTGCCTCCTTTCCTGGACAAAAATTCCACTCACAATCGGGATTTCCTTTGCCATTCCCTGTTTTGTTTTTGGGGGCCAAGCTGGGCGAACATGTTAAAACACTGTGATTAGCATTAACCCCGCCCCCACTAAAATAATTGACAGAAAGAGAAAAACCCAAGATAGATAGATACGTTTTTTAATGAGGGTTTCACTTGATATCCACAGATAATATACGCGTGGCCCGCAACAAAAAATTAAACAAAAAATTAAACAAAATTAAGTAAAGATTAATGTACAAAATTCTAGAAAGTCTGACTTACGAATAATAGTTACAGAGAATATGGTCATAAAAGGTATGCTAAAATGTACTGATCGACTGGGCCTCTTTGATGTCTTTTGGGAGTTTGTTTGCGCTCCTAGCTGCTGAAAACTTGAAAGCAGTTTTTGCCATACTAGTCCTAACTTTTGGTAGTATCAAAGTATGCTTTGCGTTTCTTGTGCTCGCATTATGAATGTCATTAGACATTGTTAACATAGCTCTTATTTTATTTGGTGCGAGATTGTTGAGGGCCTAATGGAAACTAAGATTTTTCACGAGTAGCCCAGTCTTTTATCAAACTGCAAGATATTTAGGTCTTTGAATAGAGGTCATGATGGAGTGTCTCATTTTTTGTCCAGGAGTATTCTGGCACATCTTTTCTGCAATTTATAATATCTTGGATGTGCCGTTTGTTACTGGGTCCCCAGACAACCACTCCATATTCCAGTATTGGCTGGATAATTGAGTTATACATGTGGAACAAAGTGCCTGCTTTTAGCAAAAGAAATTTCTTTGTTCTTTTCAGTAGGCCAAGTCCAAGTTCCCTATTTTTTCTTTAACATAAGCCATATGTTGTCCCATGTTAAACAGTTGTCTAACTTTATGCCAAGTAGTTCATCTTCCGCTAACGAATCAAGTTGGCCCTTATATGCTTATCTGTTCTCACTTTAAGATTTTTACCAACCGAGCCCTGAAACTTTGGCTTGCTGCAGACAATTATTGACTTTGTCTTGCTATGGTGTAAAACCATTTTATTTTCATCGACTTATCTGCTTTGAAGACGTAGTTCATGAGTGACGATGGTCCCTACCTCTTCAAAAGTATATACCCATGCAATTTGTGTTGTATCATCAGCATAAATTTCGACAGTACTTTTGGAGACTTCCAGTGGCAGGTATAATAATAATAGGGGACTGAGATCGAGCCTTGAGGAAAGCCAGTGGTAATAGATTGAGGAGGCGATAGTCGTCTTTGTATCATGACTTTCTACTTACATTCCTTAAGATATGAGTTGAACCACTCGAGAGTCATCTACCTGAGACTCCATAGATGGCGAGTTTCTTTAACAGTGTAGCATGGTCAACCAGGTCAAAAGCCTAGTGGTAATCAATGAGATTTAAACCAGATATCAATCCGTTATCCATGTTGGTAACTAAGGTGTCTACTAACTTTATCAAAGCTCTATCACAATAGAGATGGGGATGGAATCCTGATTGGTGGATACTCATAAGATTGTGTTTGACGAGGTACTCGTACATTGAGGTGTGTACATATCTCTCAAGTACCTTAGAAAGGATGGCTAACATAATGCTGTGTTCAGTCGGTCTCCAGCCTTATAGACAGGACAGACTCTAGCTTATTCTTTCCAACACGCCGGAAAGTTTTTAATTTCCAGTATTGGTACTCAGATTGATGACCTTTGTCAAGAAAGACGTTATAGCAGGTTGCAGCGACACACAGTAATTGAGCACTGATACCATCAAGGCCTGTTGCTTTGCCAACTTGCAGTTTGCTGAGATAATTCAGAACAAATTCCTGCATGATCTCTGGTACTTCAAACTTGTTTTCGCGTGTAATTTTGCTATTAATGAATGCTTTTAGCTTCATGGAGTTTGGTGCTGAAACCGCATCAGTATCAGTTCCTTCCCTGTAGGTACATGTAGTGGCCACGGAAGTAAAGAATTCATTAAAAAGGCATTTGTCATTTCATTCGGCTCGTTGATGATGTTTTCTGTGCCAACTCTTATTTGTGAGACTGCGGCTTGCTCATTTGCCCAACAACACTCTTAAGATGTTTCCAGAATTCTTTCAATGATGACTTTTGATCAAATGTGTTGAGGAAGTGCTTGCGTTTTGCCTATGTGATGAAAAAGTACTTTACGATGTGATGGTTGAGGTTCCGCCGCTCTTGTTGATGTTAAAATCGCCAAGTAGAGGGGCTTCCTTACTCCAGACATAAATATTTTCTATGAGGGTTTCAAGCGTGGAGTCCATCTCTGCAATGAAGTCTGGCACACAATAAATACCAGCAACAATAATAGGACAAGTTGATTTGAAGGATAGAGAAGTTCAGTATCATTTGTCTTTAACTTCAGTTAAAACAAGCACATCGATTTCTGTACTTAATGAATGTCCTTAATAATCTGCTGAAACTTGTCATTTTTAAAACTTCTCGTGTTCGAATGGCAGAGCCGGAGGCTATTTTCAAACAACTGAATACACGGTGGAGGAGCATTAACAGGGATGGATGACGTACCTACTGGGCCTGGATTCACTTCAACATCACTCGAAAGACAGACCAACAGCAATGCAATAGAAACCCTTTACAACACTACAGCACATGAACGAGCGCAGCGCGATACACTGATGCAATCAATTTTCCGTAAAACATACAAATAAATGTTTGACTGAAGTTTTCAATCAATGTAAACTCTACTTACCGGTGGTCTGTTTCCTAAATCAACTGAATATTGCATTGTATTTCAGTCTTTATTAGTATTATTTCTTCATTGACTTGCAGGTCGTAAATTTATATCAGCAGTACAGGTAAGGTTAATAGCAATCATTGGTGGAAATGTTTTTGAAAATGTTGAAAAAAGTAGCAGCTGATTGTGGCTTTTCTTATAAATTATTTGTATTGTGAAATGCAGGTTGATGAGCATTTTGTGATACATGCAGAAATTAAAATAAGTCAAGAGGGTATTAGTAAACCACCAGGAGCTTCCAAGTGTTGTTAGAGCACAGAACTGCTTTTGTCTTTTAAGTAAGTCCGCATTACTCATAAGTACTGACCTCTCCTGATAAATTTCTTCAGAGCTGATGTCTTTAAGCTCCCATCTTTATTTGTCTTGTAATGTGATGTGTGTATCTGATATTAGGGGCATGACAAAAGAGGAAGCAGAATTAGAGTTTGTTATCATTACTCAGAAGATGGATGGATTTGGTGATGAATACTACCCTGCTAAGGTATCTACAGTTAATGTTTATTTTGGTTCCGATCAGATATCTCATTACGAATTATACAGTCATATAATTTCTGTTGGACAATTTTGCCTGCTTGGAAATTTTTTTTTTTCAATTTGCAACTATCCCAGACATTCATCATTATATTGAGTTCAGCTTCAAGTTCCAAACTTGACTGACAGGTTTCTGTCCGATAAAAATCATGTTATTGATATAACACTGGCGTCAGTCTTAGAGGCCTTGATGTGTACTCGTACACTGGAGGGAGACGTTTTGGAGTCAATAGCAATATCTGAAATACCGAGATGACGATCTGGGACAAAACTTGCTTAGTTGGGAACCGTAAATTCCGCTGACCGTAAAAAGCCAAAATAAGCCAAGGTTCAGGCAGCCCGGGCGGTGTGCGTCACGACCCACAAAGGGTCATGGGTAAAACTGTTTATGCGCCTCATTTCAATCGTGACACGGTCGAGTTCGCATCTCGTGAGAGAGAGATAAATCAAAACCCGCGATCAAAACACTGCTTCCTTTTCTGAAAAACATTACGGAGGAGAGCGATTTGGAGAATTTTCAAGACCTTATACTGGCCTTAGATGCTTGCTATTAGCTTCATAAGGTAATTTCAATAAGTTAGTCGCGATTCGGAGACGATCGAAGGTGCGATTTTAGCCGATTTTAGGCGGCGATTTCCTGCTTCTCAGAAGATTTTAGGTACTCTTTAGTGCTGTGCTTTTATGTATATTTTTATCTCACAAGAGTGAAAGAGATCTGTAGCTCATACCTGGATTTGCTCAAATAAAAAATTCGTCCTTTTAATAGTAACTTTTGATTGACTTTATCAACCGGGCAAGGAGGGGGAGCGCGAACAAAGAGCAAGGTGAGAAATCTTGCATCGCCTCGCATAACAATTTTATTTTCATCGGCAATTCTGTTTGTAATCCTTATAAGCAAATAAATCTTTTATAGGCAAGTAAAAAACAGACCAACAGCTACAGCACAATAGGAATTTCACTGAAGCTACGGCCGCAGAAATAAACCACAATCTTGTGCTGTACGTTCATTCAAGTGAGCGCAGTGTATCGATTTTGTTATAAACCTAACCTCACAGTTTTAAAATCCTGTATGATGTTGTCTACGATCTTCGATAATGGTTTTGTGTTTTCGTTGAGATTTATTCCCTCGCGTAAATTTACATTTGCATACACATAGCACACACTGTATGCAAATTATTTTAAAGACACGCTTTCAGTTTCCGCACTGAGTTATGAAAGATGTTTTGTTTCCAAAGGTTATTCAAACTTATTTGCCTTTTCTGATTGGAAATGAGACAAACTCTTCCTGAATTTTGCGTTACTCGCTTCACGTCGGCTTTCCCTTCGGCACGTTTTTCAGCCCGTTTCCCGGGACTTGTGCTACTTGGCTGAGATAATCTGTTCATTCCAAGACACTTTCAACACCTCGTAACGGGGAAACTAACAGGGGTAGACCCGGTTATACCCCAAAATTTACAAAGAAGAAAGGTTGAAGTAACAAATTGACCGAAGTAATCCGATAAAACCGGTAACATTAACCAGCAATGAATCCAAGTAGAACGGCGAAAATAACACTCAAATCATCATTGCGGCTTGCACATGACCGAGCAATTCAAACTTGTCACAAACGCTCACGAAAGCAAAATATTTAAAAATAACGCATCTACTATCAAGATAAAGTGTTCCAACAACTTTCCTCGGCGGCATAGTGTCGAAATTGCCTACACAAGCTTGGAATAAAGCGAAAATTTCAGCCGTTTTCAGAGGTATATTATACCTGAAAACGGCTCTTTCCGAGCGCGAAAGGCGCTCTACAAATGACGCATTCTGATTGGTCGAATCTCGTGACGCACACCACCTGCAGGCAGCCCCAAACATACAGTGGTCATACCGAACTAGATAGAGTCCGTAACTGGTAAGTGTAGAGCTGTTGAGTCACCTTGCGAACGCGTATTTCCCATAAGAACCCTTTGCAGTCTAAGACAATCTGCTAAAAGGGAACTTTGGACGTCAGCATGTGAACCACAGCCTCATTGTCAGAGTAAAACATAGTATGTTTCCGAAACCACTGAGGACCCCATGTGAAAGGTGCCACCACAGCAGGGAAGAGATCTTTATATGCAATCGACTGTTGAGCCTGACACGGAAACCAAGCACCACTGCCCTTGAAAGTAGGCCTCGAAGCCGAAGGAGCCGGCAGCATCGGAGGTGACCTTTAAATCTATGGGAGTCGACATTTAGGATAAGTTCAAAACTAACTACGTGTCAGCTGGTGAGTAATTATTGCCACCAGTGTAAATCCAAATGGAACTCCCGATACAGACGAATAAGGTGGTCTCTCCTTCGGAAACAGCAAAGAAGGTTAATCATGCGCCACACATGAGCGTACTGGCCACACAACTCTAGTAGCACGGTGAAGATGGCCGATGAGCGATTCCAACTGCTGCCTCGTACACCATCTTTGACTAAGTCAGGAGTAGATGAGACCCTTCAAGGCTGCCAGTTTGTCTACCGGAAGGCGGGCTGTCTGCTGCTCCAAATTCAAGTCGATACCCAGAACTAGCATACAAGTGCAAGGGCTAATGCAGTTGCTCGGATGGCGTGGTAGACCCAGAGAGCGGCAAACCGAAACTGCTATGGACAAATTTCTTGCACATTGGTCTGACTGAGCGGGGCCTGCTGTGATGAAGTCATCCAAATAGTGCAAAGGTGGGAAAGATTGTGCTTATTCAGGAGTATCTATTCTACCATATCTGCAACTGCCATATCGGCAAGGGTAAGTCGACAAAATATTAGCCACGCCATTTCATTCAGAAGAGAAACTTGTCGTCTGGGTGCATAGCGATACTGCGGTAAGCGGTTTCAACATCGAACGTAGCCATCAAATTTCCTGGACCATACTTAGAAACCATCCTATGATTTCATCCTTTTTGATGTAATGCATTGAGAACTCCTCGGAACTTATGCCATTATTCACGCTAGCACTCGCGGGAGACGAGAGATCCACAATCATGCGCCATTTCCCCGGCTGGCCTTTCTTGGGAATGACCCCAAAACTGCTTATGTGTAAACTGGGAAAGGGAAGGGAATAAAAGGGGCATGCCACCCGACACCGAGCTATCTCATGCGCTAAATACTCGTCAATAACCTTAGGATGTTGAGTAGCAGAGAGCTTATTCTGATTCGCAGAGTTAAAATTGCGTATGCGCTGAAACCTCGGCCTAAAGCCCCAACGAAGCCCATTCAGGACATGAAACTGCGCGAGGATCAGGGTGCCTGACCAAATCGCGGGATAAAGCGGCCATCTTGAGAGGGCTCACGACAGAAACTGGATGCAAGGCCGAAGACACTAAAGGGGACAAAACACAAACAAAACAAAACAAAACAAAACAAAGCGTACTAAGAATAAAGCTCAACCACTTTTTACACAAACTGTAATCGAACGACAAGGAGAAGGAAAACCTAACTGCAAACCTAAGCACTAAATGATCAAATAAATCTAAAAGCAATAATAAAAAGATAAAACGCATAGGCACCTGAATGTGAAGGAAGGTAGGAATAAATCATAAAAGCATACAACGTTCATCGTGCCCAAGGACGCGGAAAATAGTCAGCAAATACACGATGAAAATAGCGATAACCTACGCTAAAAGATTGTCATAACCGCGTACAGAACGCCCTCGACGGCATAGCAATGAAGGACGATCGACAGCTATACATGAAACGATTTGCTCGAGGCCGAGGAACTTGGGTGCTCTGGCGACGCACGCCGCCTTCCATCGTCCTTGCCGGTTTTACTGGGACCCTGATGGCAAGCCAGAACACGATGGGAGCCAGAGCACAGGCTACAGCGATGGGCAATACACGGAATGGGGCCGTGCACCGCCCCCTATTTCACGACTTGCAGCTCTCCACAAATGAAAAGGAGCCAGGAGGTTCAGGACGGGTTGACGATTGCGCCGATGAGACGCGAACAGCAGCCCCAGCGGCAGGAGAATT